CCTTTAGCCACAAGTCTAGCCTTAAGTCTTGCAATAGAACCATCAGGATTGACTTTGACGGTAAAAACCTGTTTGCATCCTACTGCTTTCTTTCCCTGGGGTAAATCCACCAAATCCCAAGTATGATTTTCATCTAGAGCATGTATATCTTCAAGCATTGCATTATGCCATCCAGAATGATTCAAGGCTTCTTTTATTGTTTTAGGGATAGTCACAGAGTCTAGAGAGCCAACCAAACAACTAGATGCAAGAGATAAGTGATCATAAGAAACAAAGTTAGCTATGGAGTATGCGGATTTGCACTGACGTGTACCTTTCTGAAGAGCAATAGGAAGGTTCAAACTTTCTAAAGGATCAAATGGAGAAGGATCTGATGATGGAGTTGATGTAGGGTATGTATCGTTAATCTCTCGCCTCCTTGAGTAAACTTCATAAACAATTGGTGGTTTTGCTGGTGCAGACTGAGTAGGTTGTGACGGCACAATGGTCGATTGATGCTCAATAAAAGAACTGGGAGATAGAGGAACAATATCAGCTGATTGTTCTGTTACAAAATGAGTAACCTGATAGGCTAACCACTCATCTTCCTCCTTCAGACTTGTAGAATTTGGAGGTACATAAAAGAATGGTATAGTCTCTGAAAATACCACATCAGTTGATACTAAATATTTACCAAGTTCAGTAGAATAACATCGATACCCTTTCTGAAGGCAAGAATAGCCTAAGAAAACACACTTTAATGCTTTAGGATCCAACTTGGTAATAGATGGTCGAACATCTCGAACATAACATGTGCTTCCAAACACCTTAGGTTCCACTGGAAATAATGATTTGTTTGGAAAAAGAATATTATACGGCGTATTACCGACCAATACAGTTGATGGCATGCGATTGATCAGAAAACAAGAAGTAGAGATGGCATCAGCCCAAAATTGCTTAGGAACCTTCATTTGGAACAACAGTTCCCGAGCTGTCTCAAGTAGATGCCTATTCTTTCCCTCGACAACTCCATTTTGAGAGGGTGTATCAACACATGAAGATTGATGGAGAATACCATGTTGTCTCATGTAAAACCTAAATAATTCTGACATATATTCTTTAGCATTATCACTCCTTAGAATACGCACTTTGGCATCAAATTGAGTTTTGACTTCAACACAAAAGGCACAAAAGTGAGTGAACACTTCAGATCTGCTCTTCATAAAGTATATCCAAGTCATTCGAGAAAAATCATCTACAAAGATGACAAAATATTTATGCCCACTTTTGGACAACAGGACATGGTCCCCAAACATCAAATGAACTAACTGAAAAGCTGACTCGACTCTCTTATTAACCCTTGGACCTAATAAGATGCTATGGTGTTTTGCAAATTGGCATGACTCACATTCCAATGAGGAAATATTCTGAAATTGAGGGAAAGCTTTTTCAACAAAGGTAACGAAGGATGTCCCAGTCGACAATGTGCCTCAAATGGAGACACAACACAAGAGCAGGCAATAGATGGAGACTCCCACTCATCAAGGATATAAAGATCATCAGAAATATGTCATTTACCAATAACCTGATTTGTTATAAGATCACGAAACAAATAATAATCGGGAAAGAACAAGATATAACAATTAAGTTCTCTCGTAACTTTACTAACAGAAATCAAATTAAATGCCAATTTTGGTAGACTTAGTACAAATGACAGAGTAATATACGAGGTTGGTTGAACAGTACCGAATCCAACGCTATTACAAGTTGATCCATCAGCTACAGTAACAGGAGAGGCTACTTTGTCTGATCTAAAGCTAGAGAAAATATTAGAATTCCCTGTCATATGATTTGTAGCACCTGAATCGATTACCCATTTATTAGAAGAGTTGATAAGACATGTTTTATCTGACCTAACAAAGGAATTAACAGAAGCAGATTCCTTCAAACATTTCTGTTATTGAGAAAATTTGGCAAACTCCTCAACCGAAACCAAAACCATTTTGTCGGATAATGAACGTGAAGCAACAACTTTTAACCGATCTGTCATTTTACCAACTATATTTGAAAGTGTTTCAAAATCCCCAAACAAACAAACAACAGCCTAATAACACAATAAAAAAGAAACTGATAGTAGCCAAAATCGATGGCCCTCTAGAAATAATTTCCCAAATAAGCTTCAAATAGCCTCCGACAAACAATATCAACTCACAAGTTAGTCAAGCAACAATTCCACTGATGCACTCATACACAATTTCCATAATCAAGTATAATTAGCAACAAACTAAGAAGTCTCAAACCTAACCAAAGAGGGTCCACAAATTCTGTTTAGAGGGTTTTTTTTCTCGAAAAAATTGGTCCTATAATTAGGGGATCACCACCAATCAGCCAGAAATGACAAGTCGATGCTGGAAAAGAAAGCCGGACCGAGCTTGGTCCACTCACTCGTGGCAGAAACTAAATTCAAGCTCACTAATTTCATTCACGGACACTGACCGGATTCCGGCAAGCTCCGGTGAGCTTTCTGACTAACAAAGAACATACAATGCTCTGATACCATGTAAAATATAGAGACAATGTACCAATCTCCTTGATCTATTATTCCAAGAATAAGAGCTATTTGTAGGTGTACATGTAAATCTATCTAAGGAAATAAAATAAAAAAATATCCCTAAATATCTCTAAGATCCCCAAAGGTCTCTACCTATAATTATGCTATGAGTAGATATGACTATGTACATTTTGTAACATAAACTAATAATAAGAATGGTATTGGTCAATAACACACTACCAAAAAACAGTTAAATTGTGGCGGGTTTTTTGTCAAGTTGTGACGGTTTTTGACTGCAACAAAAAGAATTGTGGCGGTTTTTTAAAAGTGCCACAATTAGCCTTGCCACAGGCATACAACAACGGATTTTTTCAACCTCCATGATGTATGCCACAAAATGAATTTTAAATTTGTGGGGGGTTTTAAAATTAATTAATGGTAGTTTAGAACCCTTGCAATATGATATTGATGTTTCGAAAAAAATATTGTGGGAGTATTTAAACTCCCACAATATATCATAATGTTACCAAAAAAAAATTGTGGGGTCTATAAAACTCCACAACATAATTTCAATTTTTTTTTAAAAAACATTACGTGGAAGTTTTCGACCGCTACAATATGATTTAAATGTTTTAAAAAAAAATTAGTGGCAATTTCATTTCGCCTTCATATTTTTATTGTTGAAAATTTATTTTCATTTGAAATTTAATTATATTAACGAATAAATTAAAATAAATAATTAGTGGCAGCTTATATCCGCCACAAAATATTGTTGCTACTGAAAATTACTTTTTATTTAAAATTTAATCATATATTTTCCCTCATGTTGAAGACACAATTCGGTACAATCAGGAAAAGACTGCTTCTTCAGCAACTTCCTTCCTTTTTTTTCTTCCTTGATAGTGTCAATGTAGACTCTAAAATAATCAAATAAGTTATATATAATATCAGCCATAAAAACCTTGACACCAAGTTCATCTGAAAGTTCCCGAGCTTCCTGTGTCACTTTAACATCAAAGGCCAAGATGGTTGCATACTCTTTCTTCTTCTCAAGCATAACACTAGCTTTCATGACATCCTTTTTATGCACAGGACCTATGCAAAATCCCACTGACATGTATGCTTACTTCCGGGGTCTAAAAAATTCCAGCAAAGCTTAGCTACAAAATCAAATAATCTAGAGGAGACTTAAACATGACTATGAGTGGTCTAGAGTTAAAGAAATAACAAAATCTAAGAAAGGAATAGAATTATTCACATATGACTGATTGAACTAACAAAATAGACTGAACAAACATTTAACTTTGAGTGATTGGATTCCCGACTTGCTGGAACAATCCTAAAAGAATCCATAACTATTGTTGGATAAGGATATCATAGATAGCTGAGAGAAAGAACAATGTTCACATCTCAATACGCATAAAAATTCTTCTTTCTAACCGGTGGTCCTTTATAACCAATTACTAATTTGGCTTGGATCCCAAATAAAGCTCTCCAACATTTAGTCAACCAAATAGTCCCACTTAAAAGGCTTCCCTCGCAAAAACGATCCATGCCTCGCTAACACGCAGGTCGCGAAAGCGAAAGACCTTCACAAAAAGCGAGGGTCTGGGGTCTCACCTCCCTTGCTTTCAAAAGTGAACAACCCCATCGATCGCGAGGTACAACAAATTAAGACCTCAACAACAAATCAGCCAACATAAAAATCATCGCATGGACCCTTGGGATTCGTTTGGAATCCTATTCACACAAACCAAATATGAACCTAGACTAAACTCGACGTTCCAGGCTCAATGCATGGAACCACCAAAACTCGCATCCAAGGTCTCCTTAACCCGGAACTTGTGAAAGTCACAAGAAACGAACATAATGCCTAAAAAGGCTATAACACGCTCGGGACCTCTGAAAATTCAACCAAGGCCTCACCTAGTCCTAAAATCATCCCCTGAATCCGACGAAACTCTCGAAAATCCAATCCGAGTATCCAAACCCCGAATTTTAACCAAAGTCAACCCAAAGGCTAAAATTTCACAATTTTTTAAGTTAGGACCTCAAATCCTCAAAATGACTTTGAATCTGAAACCGACAACTCTCTTATCATGCAAACCTTTTCATATTTCGGATGAATATAGGCAATTTAAAGATTAATAAATAGTTATGTAACTTAACGAAATCCAATTAAATATTAAATAATTGTTAGATATTGCCAAACCTTTTGTTTTCCATCATTTAGTATCAATCAACACAATAATATGATATTTGAAGAAATTTTGAGTGTGGTGAGTGGCAAGGTTGAGAAGACTTGACTATTGACATTCTTTAGTCTAAACCCAAAAACACATAAAAATCTATCTTGCTTTATTTCAAATCACTCTCTTCCACACAAAAGAAAAATATAGAGACTTTTGAGTGTTGTGAGATTTGACTATTGAGGTCTTTCACTAATACAACTTGTTCTGTCATACACAGTACACCTCCAAATGTTGACTGAATTGAATTTGATATCATTAAATGCATGTTCTAACATCATTCCTTTGCATTATCAATTCTGAGAAACCTTCTTGGCTTAATTATGGGTAAAAGTTTCATTCCTCTCTTTTTTCTTGCAATTTTCATTCTACCACATGACAATACATTACTTGCTAATATTAGCACTGACGAAGTTGCTCTTCTTGCACTTAAATCACACATTTCTTCTGATATTAACAATATCATAGCAAGCAACTGGTCTTCTTCCACCCCAGTTTGCAGCTGGATTGGAATCACTTGCAGCTCCCGTCACCATCGAGTCACTGCTTTAGACATTTCGAGCATGCAACTTTATGGTACCATTCCTCCACACCTTGGAAACCTCTCATTTATTTCATCGCTTGACATCAGTAACAACACTTTCCATGGAGATTTGCCAGTAGAGTTGGCTCATTTGCAGAGGTTGAAATTCATTAATGCCAAAAACAATAACTTTACCGGAGCCATTCCATCATTTTTAAGTTTGTTACCAAACCTAGGCTCTTTGTACCTATCGAATAACCAATTTTCGGGGAAAATTCCAACTTCCCTTTCCAATCTAACAAAACTGGAAGTGTTGCAATTACAGAGCAATTTTCTTGAAGGAGAGATCCCTCGAGAAATTGGTGATCTTCGTTACTTGACTGTCCTAGACCTGCAACTTAGTCAGCTTACTGGCTCTATACCACCATCAATCTTTAACATTACTACAATGCAAGTGATTGCTCTTAGCGGCAACAATCTTACTGGAAAGCTTCCAAAAACTATATGTGATCATCTTCCAGACTTGGAAGGACTTTACCTCGGTAGAAACTCCCTAGAAGGAGTTATTCCACCAAACCTGGAGGAATGCAGAAAGCTTCAACAATTGGTATTGTCATTCAATGAGTTTGCTGGAACTGTACCAAGAGAGCTTGCCAACTTAACAGATCTTACAAAATTAGCCATGACAGCTCTGCATTTGGAAGGTAGTATAAAATTTTCTTCCTTCTCTTTTCCCCCAAGCTTGTACTCATATATTTCCCGAAAATTGACAGGAGAGATACCAATGGAGCTAGGTAATCTTAAGAAACTTCAAGCATTGGGATTATCACAGAATGAGCTTACAGGCTCTATCCCTGACATCATTTTCAACATGTCAGCACTGCAGATTATAGATTTTGGACTAAACAAGCTTTCAGGTACTCTACCTTCAGATTTAGGTCGTGGAATTCCCAATATAGAAGAACTCTTTTGTGGAGGAAATAATCTGAGTGGTTTTATCTCTGCTTCAATCTCAAATTCTTCAAGACTCACAATGTTAGACCTCTCCAACAACAGTTTCACAGGTCTCATTCCTAAATCACTTGGTAACTTAGAATACCTTGAGGTTCTGAACTTGTGGGGGAATAATTTTGTCAGCGATTCAACATTGAGCTTCCTTGCATCATTGACAAACTGTAGGAATCTAAAATTACTCACGTTATCTGGTAATCCGTTGGATGGTGTTTTGCCTGCATCTGTTGGTAATTTCTCCAACGCCTTGCAAACTTTTGAAGTACAAGGTTGTAAATTGAAGGGCGTCATTCCACAAGAAATTGGTAATCTTACTGAAGTGACAAGGATGATTCTGGTTAACAATGAGTTAACTGGACATATTCCAAATACTGTGCATGGCATGTCGATCCTTCAAGAACTTTACCTATATGACAACAAGATAGAAGGAACCATACCAGATGTTATTTGCAACTTAAAGAATCTAGGTGCATTAGTATTGTCAGAAAATCATTTTTCTGGTTCAGTGCCCTCATGCTTAGGTAACATGACCAGTCTGAGGAAACTTTATCTAGATAACAACAAACTGGATTCTAGATTACCTTCAAGCTTAGGGAACCTTCAAGATCTCATAGAATTCGATGTTTCATACAATTTATTGAGTGGGGAAATTCCTCTGGAGAGTGGAAACTTGAAGGCTGCAACACGCATTGATCTGTCAAATAATTCTTTTTCTGGTAAGATTCCTAGTACTCTAGGGAGTCTAGATAAATTGATTAATCTTTCTCTAGCACATAATAGATTAGAGGGGCCTATTCCTGAATCATTTGGCAAAATGTTATCCTTGGAATACTTGGATTTGTCCTATAACAATCTTAGTGATGAAATTCCAAAGTCATTAGAAGCTCTTGTGTATCTCAAACACATGAATTTCTCATTCAATAAATTCAGTGGAGAAATTCCCACTGGTAGTACCTTTGCAAATGTCACCAGTCAATCTTTCTTGTCCAATGATGCACTTTGTGGCGACTCCCGATTTAACGTAAAACCATGCCTAACCAAATCTACAAAGAAGTCAACCTTGGGGACCCTTCAAGATCTCATTCAACTCGATGTTTCATCCAATTTATTGAGTGGGGAAATTCCACTGGAGAGCGGAAACTTAAAGGCCGCAACATTCATTGGTCTGTCGAATAATTATTTTTCTGGTAAGATTCCTAGTACTCTAGGGAGTCTAGATAGATTGATTAATCTTTCTCTAGCACATAATAGATTAGAGGGGCCTATTCCAGAATCATTTGGCAAAATGTTATCCTTGGAAAACTTGGATTTGTCATATAACAATCTTAGTGGTGAAATTCCAAAGTCATTAGAAGCTCTTGTGTATCTCAAATACCTAAATATCTCTTTCAATGAACTCAGTGGAGAAATTCCCACAAGTGGTCCCTTTGCAAATGTCACCAGTCAATCTTTCTTGTCCAATGATGCACTTTGTGGTGACTCCCGATTTAATGTAAAACCATGCCTTACCAAATCTACAAAGAAGTCAACAAGAAAAAGAGTGCTTACAGGTTTATATATTCTATTAGGGATTGGATCACTCTTCATGTTGACTGTTGGAATTGTGGTGTTAAGATTGAGAAACACAAATAAGAATGCAAGTCAAAAAGATGTGTCTCTCATAAAAGGGCATGAAAGAATTTCATATTATGAACTTGAACAGGCAACTGAAGGATTCAACGAAACCAACTTGCTTGGTAATGGGAGTTTCAGCATGGTTTATAAAGGGATACTTAAGGATGGTATCATTTTTGCAGCAAAGGTATTCAATGTGCAATTGGATGGTGCATTCAAAAGTTTTGACACAGAATGTGAGATACTAAGGAACCTTCGCCACAGAAATCTGACCACAATGGCTATTCAACGCCTGTGGTGCATTGTGACTTGCAGCCAAGCAATGTCTTGCTAGATCAAGAAATGGTTGCTCATGTAAGTGATTTTGGCATTGCAAAAATGTTAGGTGCAGGGGAGGCTTTTGTTCAGACAAGGACAATTCCAACCATTGGATATATTGCTCCAGGTATATTAAGACTTTTTAAAGTTCTCAAATCATATAAATACTCAAAACAATTCCTTCCCCTAGGTATAAGTTGATTTATGATCATTGTTGACCATGATTGCAGAGTATGGACAAGATGGAATAGTATCCACGAGTTGTGATGTTTATAGTTTTGGCATCCTAATGATGGAGACGTTCACACGAACAAGACCAAGTGATGAAATATTTACTGGAGACTATAGCATACAACGTTGGGTTAGTGATTCATTTCCGGGTGAAATTCACAAGGTGGTGGATTCTAATTTGATGCAGCCAGGAGATGAACAAATCGATGCAAAGATGCATTGTTGTTTTCTATCGTGGAATTAGCTTTGAACTGCACTATAGTGAGACCTGATGCAAGAATTAGCATGAAAGATGCTCTTTCAACACTCAAAAAGATCCGGCTCCAGCTTGTCAGTAGTCGGCACTAGGTGGAATCGGACCAGCCTACTCTTGTATGTTATTTTAGTTACCAGTCTGCTCTTGTATATTATTTTAGTTACCAGTCTGCTCTTGTATGTTATTTTAGTTCCAGTCTGCTCTTGTATGTTATTCAATTTCGCGCAAGTACTTCAGTGTATTTTATCTTGGTTGTTGGAAGAAACTCATTTCTTGATATATGGAAGTTGAAAATGAGATTTAAAATGCTCAACACAATATTTATTTTTCGTATTTACATAACTTTGAGAATCCCATTATCTACCAACCCGTGGACATGAAAGTAACACAGAACATGAATACTTGAGATGATACAGGGTTCATGAAAAATACTTGTGGAACTATTCATGCCTGGGTTTTGGGCAACTTCTTTGCTCCCACCAGAAGTCAGGTTCTGCTCGCTTAGACTGACTTTGGGCCTTCAACTGTTGATCATCTTGGACTTTGACCCATTTTTCGTTTCTGTATCACTGTGTATACAGCAGTGTATATTATGTATACTTGATGTATATTACTCAATTCTTGGCTCCCGAGACTTGTAACTTAGCTTTCCTTTCACTGAAAATGGCATCTCCTCAACACAAGAATCATTCTTTGAAACGATTTAAAGTAATACCAACCATATATTCTAATACTCGAGCTTAAATTCCATAGTAAACAGAGGAGTATACGTAAAATCACAAAAGAAAACGAGACATGATCAAGTGAACGCACATAGCACCAAGGAGCTTGACAAGAATACTTCAACCAAATGAAAATAATTCAACTTGAGGAACTCTAAATTGCACTGATTATCACAACAACACTATCAAGCCTCCAAATATATTGTCCCGCAAATTTATTTAAAGAGAAAGGTGCAAATGGGCAAGGCATATACTCTGATATACAAATTGTCATGAACTTACATAAATCCAATTATTTTAGGAGCTAATTACTTAAATTTATTCCAGTTTGTAATATTACACATCTTATAAGATTTTGGTATCTCCAGATACATCCAAATTCATGTATCTCAGATACATGGGTCAAAATTATGTATAATTTGTTCTAGATACATTGTATCAAAATAAATTCGCATGTATCTGAGATACATAACAAAATTCGCTCATCTCTCTCCCATCTCGCTCGTATCCGAGATGCATGTGAATCATAACAGATACATACAAGTACATGTATCTAGTGTGTATCGTATGTATTTGGGATACATACGAATCTCACTCGCCTTTCTCCCTATTTTTGTGTATCTTGTAACAACAATACATGCATCTAAGTGTATTTTCTTCAATATGTGGTAGAAAACTCTTAATTAGTGTGTATGTGTGTTAGCTAATAGAGTTGTTATACTTAGACTCATTTGAACTTGAAAAAAATTAGTTAAACCTGTTATTTCAAAAAGAGAAAAGACATAAAGTCACCACTGAAGTTGTCTCGAATTTTCAAAAAGACACCTTAACTTTGCAACCATCCTATTTGTTAGGGTTTTGCCTTGATTTTATTTCCTTATTTGAAGTTTATTTTTTTTTTCCTTAAAGAAAAGTCAAAGTATTACCATAAATGCTTGAATTTTTTCTGAAAGGAAAATATAATTTTCTTCCATATTTGGTTTATTCTTTCCTTAGAGGAGAAGTTTGGAGATCTATAAATTGAAGATCCATATTCTCATAACACAATAGAATTCACAATGTAGTTTTTTAGAGAGTTTTGTTTATGGGGAGATTTTCCAATTTTTATGTTTTTTATTAGTTTTTTAATTATGTAGACCAATTGGTCATATCATATAATAATAATATTATGTCTTTAGTATAGTTTTATGTGTCATCTAATTTATCGTCTTATGATTTGCAATTGTAAGCTTCCGTATGATGCCCTAATCACCTTCGTAACCCAACAAGTGGTATCAGAGCTAATGGTTCAATGACTCAGGTTCATAGAGGTTGAAGACAGGTTTAACACGGTTTCAAATCAATTTGCAACTAATTTGATGATAAAGAAGATTTTTGTCCAGCTATATGTGGAGAAGAGATTAAAACCATATTTTCAACATTCCTGCTACTGCATCTTTGAAAATAAAAATAAAAATAAAATATTTTAAAACCATTTTTAACCCATATATTTTAAATTTTATTTTTAACCATGACAAGCAGCAGTGATGAAGACTATGTGAAGAACAAAGATTATCATACATGTGAAGAAGGTGAATCAAGTTTTGTCAAAATCCAGCCAAAATGGAAGATTTGTTAGGGTTTTGCCTTGATTGAAGTTTATTTTTTTTCTTAAAGAAAAGTCAAAGTATTACCATAAATGCTTGAACTTTTTCTGAAAGGAAAATATAATTTTCTTCCATATTTGGTTTATTCTTTCTTTAGAGGAGAAATTTGGAAATCTATAAATTAAAGATCCATATTCTCATAACATAACACAATAGAATCCACAATGTAATTTTTTTAGAGAGTTTTGTTTATTGGAGATTTTTTCTCTACAATTTTTATGCTTTTTATTAGTTTTTTTAATTATGTAGACCAATTGGTTATATCATATAATAATATTATGTCTTTTAGTATACTTTTATGTGTCATCTAATTTATCGCCTTATGATTTGCAATTGTAAGCTTTCGCATGATGCTCTAATCACCTTCATAACCCAACACTATTACCCACTAAATAATTTTGAACAAATATTATTATATCATTTTTTGGGTATAAGCAATGTACTTTGAACCTTCAATAACAGGAATTTGCAAACTTCCATATAATTTGACTGCACATGCTGTTCTCAGACATTTACTATAAAAGACAAGCAAGCGATTACTATTAATTATCAAATGGAAATCGATGCCAAATACCTTGGCCAGAAGGAACGAGAACTTGCTACAGGTTGTAGTGAGCAAATTTATGTCAATATCAAACGGAACACTAAGCAAAACACCCGAAAGAATTACATATCGAGATATCATACTATTTCCGTATACATTATTACTCCCAAACATATGATGCTCTTTAATATCAACAAGAACACGAGAATCCAATTCTACCTTGAGTTCTTCAAGAGTATGGAAAGCATAGAGGTCTCATTTATCACTGTAAACAGGGTTATATGTTGGAATGATAGCATCTGAACAGTACGCACAACAGAAGAATGCATAAACCCCAAACATCCAGTATCGACACTTGACTAATGTTATCAAAAGATGTACACAAATAAAACATGTTAGTAATATGCATCAATAATTCTCGAACACTATTTGTGTGACAAACTAACTTCACGATCATCCAACCTATCCTTGGATCCCATACAGGAACAACAAGTCCATTTCCAATTAAAACTTTCCCTTAATTCTTATGAATACATGTACTATTCTGACATGATTTCTTTCAGACATTTTATCAAACAAGTATGAAGCAACTCCTAGCTTCTTTCCCTTCCATTTCTTTTTCATTCCTGCATTTCTAGAGATTCGTCTACCAACCAAATTTAAGACAATTTAAATTTAACTCATTTGCCAGCAAGTACATTACGGCCTTGCGCTATCCCAGTTTTCTTGAGTGTTTTTGAGAACAAGCCTATTCTCGTAGAAAGCGGCCTACTTTCACACTCACACATATGTGAAATCTGTCAAGGGTGCTCCTATAATTTGACACCCCACTCATACGAGGTACAAACTTTCATTAAGAGTTCAAAGACTCAAACTCCACAATTCATTATAGGATAAATGCACTCACATCATAGAGATTGAATAAAATTAATATTAATGCATTTCACACTAAGTCATCATATAATTCATTTTTATCAACCTGGTGTTAGGATCTCTAGTCTCTAGGTTGGTTTCCTCATATATGACTCAGAAATTTATGAGCTTCAATTTCATCCCCATTGATATGCTTCGGACCTTTATCTTGCTAAGGCCCTTAGTTTATGATTTTGCAAGATTATCACAATTAATATGAATGTATACCGGTAATCAATATGATCTCATAATATTGTGTTTTTTTCCATTGAGTCTGAATTTACCGTTTTAATAATGATTTTGTACTCTACCAACAATATTGATGCTTCACAATTGATCAAAATTAGAAAAATTAATTTCTCAAATTAAAGTGTTTGATATAATAAAATCAAAATCACCTTTTTCACTAGTTGAAGCTTAATTTTTGTTTTACTTCAACCTCCATAGTAGAGTTTGCAAGCAATATCATTTGATTTTCTCTCTTCCAACAAATAGCACTTATTTTTCCATCTTGTTTGCTTGTATGCTTGAACCTGCTAAGTAGTTTTTCTGCAAACATAATATCAAGTCAGATTGTTAGTCACATAGCTTATATTTTTATTAGGCTAGCAAACTCCCATTTTTTATTTGTCACAATTTTCTCACACAATTAAACCAAAAGGAGTTGCAAGACTCACGCAACCGATAAAATTGTATTTCACAATTATTTCAATATTATGTGACTTGACAAGGAAAACTCCATCACATGTATTATAGTATTTTTCATTCCAGAATGAAAATTTTCTCTCCCAAAACAGTTCATGTTAAATGGCTACTCGACATGTTTTCATAATTTATTTATAACTCTCACGTTACAACCAAAAGTCATTCCATTATAACCAAACAACAACATGTGATTTGTTCCACAATAAATATATGCATTTGTAATACTCTTTTTTTAGAGCATTTCTCAAAGATGCACAATTTCACAAATATTTTTTTTATCATTTCATGAAC